CAGTGTCTAACACACCTCATGAACAAATGCGGAGGATGCGTATAGCACGGATGTCGCTCAGTCTGCCCAAACGCAATCCAGGAACACATGATATTCAAACTCAAGAAGCTTTCGGCCTTATCAATCCCTTTTTGGGATGCGCCAGTAGTTTTCTAGAGTAGTTCCAAACACCAACAGATTGTAAATATGATTGATTACGAATAAGAGGGTGGTTCGTTTTGCCTCTTACTCAGACGAACCACTGCTTTTCATCAAGTGTTTTTTTACTAGGTCACGGCGCGACGATGAGCACCTCTGCTGCGTGCCGCGCGCGGTAAACTTGCACGGTACTTGATTAGAGTGACACTATTCGACTTTCCTAGGCCCAGCTCCAAGCTTTGCAATCCCGCCATGTCGGGCGTCTTCATCGATTCCTACGGTGATCGAGCGCAAGAATCAATAGCCGCGAGCACGGCACGCGGCATATGCGACGTCGCGCCGTGACCTGAGGAGACACGCTCTCGTTATTCCATGACTAAAATGTCATACCTGACATTCAGGCTCTTCGCTTTCCGAAGAGCAGCATAGATGTCCTCCCATTTTGTTGACACACCACTGGCCCACTCCAGCGCACATGTTGTCCGATTCGCATTCGTTCACATCTATAAGGGTTTCGATTCAAACACGAATTCCAGAATTTTCTAAAACATTTTCAGAAAACTATGTATTCATACAGCCGTTCCTTACCTATACATCTTGTGTGGGGATCGCCAACGAATCCCTCCATACATTGACAAGTTTGGTTGTAACATACGGCGTGGAGTCCACATCCACCAGCACAGAAAGCGCCTTTCTCTGAAACGGGTTGGATCTTCAGAGTTCTGGTGATGCCATCAGAAGGGCGTTTACCTTTGATACAGCGATCATCATCGACGTCGTCGTCGCAACAGATGTAGCCGCCGTTGATGTTCACACAGCGATGACCCGTCTGATTTGCACATGGGCTTTCCACCGACGCGCATTCGTTCACATCTGAAGGAAGAAATGCACACTAGATTTAATACGTCGGTGGAGTGTTCAAGCATGCTCCTGTATAACTTACCATTACAAGTAATTCCGTCGCCGACGTAGCCAGTTTGACAAAGACACAACTTCAACGATTTGATACAAAACGCATGGCGGTCACAAATATCTTCTTGTTGACTGCAGTCAGTGATCGCTAAAAAAGATTTTTAGACGAGTTAGGCGTTCCCTCCACTCCCATGTTACCAAGTTGCTGGTAATACACTCTAGAGAGGTGAATAGAAATGATATGGAGAATAGACTTCATTCGATCCACCATACTTCAGGGGGCATGGCTCGTAGAAGAAGATTTCATGTCATAGTTACCATTTCAAAGTCAAGCATGCTTCGGTGGTGCTGGGAGGGAAGGCGGACCGCATTGGAGTCACGTTGGTAGTGTCTGGCATTATGGCGTCCGTTTTCATAGCGGTGACGTGATTGGGTAATGTGCTGCTGAGAAGTGGGGGAATTTGTCATGTTCTATGACAATATGGACGGTTGGCATCATCAGGTCTAGGGTCAAGAGATTCCTTTTTAGCTTTAAGGTAGTTCAAAGGGGAGAGAGTTGGGGTTACTTGGTGAGTTCTTCCTATTCTTGGTAAGATTCTCGCCGTTATATTATCCAAGAGGAACATTCTGTAGGGCGGGGGTCCCACAGGGCGGTTGTCCTTTTTTTTTTTTTTACCCCCCCCACCCAAAAACATAGTTTATTCCCGCTCTCCAGAGTGAGCAGTGACAGAGGAAGAAATAAAAAAGTGAATAATTGAGGCGAGCCGAGTAAGCATAGATCAGGAGAATTCACAGCACTTCATGCAAGAAGATAACGATGACCGAAGTGCCTTCAGAAGTGAATTCGGCAGGGTAAAGCAAGTTGGGGGAAGAGTATTGTGGGACCTCATTGGATGGCATATAAATACATTTCAAAACCTTTTTTGCGATGCAGATTGTTCTACTGTGTGCGTGGACACAGGTATAAGAATGGAAACACTGCCTATTAGTCAGGTTCGAAGAGCCGAAAGTTACTTAGGATTTCTAGGGTACTTAAAAAGGATTGCGCAACTCTGAAATTGGGATTATCCGAGGGTTATTGAGGGTCGTATGCGGGTATTTTGTTGAACGGTAGAAACTACGGTTTCTGAACTGTTTTTCTGATCGTGAGTATTTACAGCTCATTTATAATATTGCGAAGGTTTTGGAGAGGTTTAGTTTCGGGATCTCAATACGATACTCACGTTCGCAGTGGATTCCGTCTCCGGTTAGACCGGCATCGCATTTGCATTGGAATCCTCCTGGAGTATTGATACATTCGGCACCGAGGATCGCACACATTCTCCAATCGACATTCATCTACGTCCACACATTCGCCATCCAAATACTCGTAGCCAAGTGAGCAGCGATCGACGCACGTGTAACCACCAACCTAAAGGAGTATTGGAGTGTTCGGTAATGAAAAATGTGCTGAAGAGTATATTGGGTGTGCTTGCAAACGCTGAACAGTTATGGAGTATCGTACATCCGGAAATTCGTAGGTAAGACATATATAGATTCTACCGATAAAAAAAATACTCTTCACCCCTCTGGGACCAGCACCTCAATACTGATGCTATTTTTGAATGTGAAAACACCAACTGCTGTTTTTTAGTCGTGGTCCTAGGTACCGCCCACTTTGGTGTACACCCCGCCCACCGTAGGTGGAGCTTAGCTCATGTGTCCCCATGTACCGTCTATCCCATCCTTGAATTTGAGACCATCTCTGTGAAGGATTCTTTGAGATATGCCATTTTGTGGTATACAAACAATCAATAGATCCCACTCCCTCTGCACTGACATCCTACCTGATGAATCTTAAGACATGGAGTTAATTTACATATGCGGTACAGTTCAGATCATTATCTCCGCGGCGATGAGTGAGTGATTAGTATGTCTAAACGTCACTGACGGTTTTCGCGAAATGAAGATTGATGAATCAGGGCACTAGAATACGGTTGATATCTAGCATGCCGGTCTTTAATTCAACCGTCTACATCGAACAACAAGGAAATTGAAATTATTCGTTCCAGAGGTGTGCAGCAAGCACTGCGGATTGCGCCACGCACTCGAGTTCTCCTCAGAAATGTTGATGTAATTGAAAGTGTGCCACATACGCTCAACAATTAGGGTGAGTTACATTTCGATGCCAAGTTTTATTCCGTGAGCTAGGTACTGCTTGGGACTATAAACTTAACCTTTAGAATGCTATAATGGAATGCTACAGCGAAGTGGCAGCTTCTTGAAAATTAAGCCCAACGTTTTTATAGGAATGTTTATGTTCATTTTTTTCCATTTCGTTTTTTATTCCCAGCAAAGCTTCAGCTTCCAAAAGCTTTTCCAACCTTCCCCTTGAGGACTGCTGTCACGTAATCTCAGCATTCACTCAATGTGGGATCTCAACAGAATGTGTTGGCGTGAAAAGTGGGCTAATCCAATTTCGTTCATCGGGCAGCTCCCAAAATAACGAACGCGATTAAGCGGCGAAATCTGTCGAAGAACTCCCGTTTGGAAATCGATCGATATCGGTAATCAATTAGCTGAAATGGCTGGATGGCTTACCGTATTTTGACACATTTGATTTTCTCCGCAGTTATGAAGGTTCATTTCACATTCGTTGATATCAGCGCATTTTTCCAATGGAAGACCCTGAATGGTGAAATTTGTTTCTCAAAATTGTTTTCTGGATTACTAGAGTAAAAAATGAATCTGAAATGGGTCCAGATACTCACTTTCGGCGCAAAACCCTCGGTACAGTTACAGAAATATGTTCCTGGTAGATTGACGCAAACGGAATTCTGTGGACAGGTGTACTTGCTCATTGAACACTCATCAATGTCTGAAATGTGGTTGGTCTTGGATGGAAATTGTTGTCAATGAGTACGGTAGTGAAAAGTAACAGTTCAAGAATTTCCTGAATTTTCATTTCTTCCCTTTATCCAAGGTATCCTATGTTTCATTGGATGAACTTAATCAGATCGTTCCTCAAGGTTTACCTCTAGTACCCTGGACGACCTTAGATTTCGTTACGCCGGTATGTGACTGTAATTTGAGCACCAGTCACAAGGACCGTGACAAATTGGTTACCTTCCAACCGCCACCTTGTGTGCCTTTGTAACAGCGCCAGCAAATCGTCCACCCTGACTAAAGGAAAGGGTGCCGTGCACTTGCATACACAAGGTTCGAAGGACACCAAACTCACTGGGGAACTCACAAACATCGGCACCCGTGCGTGACGTGTCGATGGGACATGTCGGTGATACAGATAGAGATACAGTAGTTCGTTACAGTGCAGGAATATCAGTTTGTTTGTTTTTATCAGTTTATCAGTTTTAGTTTTGCGAAAAAACTTCGAGTATCTCAGTATTGCTGATTAAGGATTCGACAAGAGGTGTCATTATGGTTAAGAGCAAAATAATTCCCGGCCGAATTCTAATTGAAAGTAGAACTGCGTTTTTAATCATTCGACGATTATGACTTCAAAGTCCTTTAACTTTTTTCAACCGCAGAAGTCGTGCCACTTTCGTTTTTCGAAGTTGTGGATTGAAGAAAGTGACGCTTATTTTGCGTGCAATCAAGACCCTTATCTCATCTTCGGTCGAAGATGGTCACGAGGGAAGTCTGACCGCTCTCTTGTCTCCATTCTGTTCGCAATTTTTCTTTAGGTTCTCGTCTTAATACACGCACGTTCGCTTATGGCTATGCAGATGCGGGCCACAAATAATCTCAGGAGAAGTACCTATTTTCAGTATTGCGAAGTTTTGGTTTGCTTATTCTCCCTGGGTGAATCTCCTCAGCATTAAGAATGTATTTATCGAGCACCACCAGCTACGTCTTGCTCTGTAAAACGCGCCTTTAAAGCGACTATTGGTGGGCTGCAGCTATAATCCACCCCTCCTAACCCCCGCTATCCACCCACGCATTCGTCTGACGATCACAGTCAATCTTTACATAGGTTCAGCTTGAGACTGTCATTTATATATACCCTGTCCACAAGGCTGACGTTGGTATCCTACTTTGATTCTGGATTTGATGAGGCCTACGACAACCAACGGTAGCGCTCGAGTAATTTGATAAGGCCTAAATAAAACGACCGCGGACGAAACTTTCGTGCATGTCAAATATTAAATATGAGCTCGGACATCACTCGTCAGCCTACACTTTCTTTAATCCATATCGAAATAGAATACTATAGCAATATGAGCGAAGCGTTCGCAAAAATACTATAGTAAATGAGTGAAGCTTTGGGTTCGCAATGATCTGGTCTCGAATTGCTACTGCTCGAACAAATCCCCATCCCATTTTTAGTCTGGTTATAGAGCATACCGGGAAAATGTCTAAACGTCTGAAGGTTCGCTACTTCATTTCTTTTATCTCGGAAAGGCGGGTGTACCCATCCTTCAACCCCTAGAAGATCCTTCTGAGTTGAGTGGCCGAGTGTCATCAAGCGGCGGTTGTGATCCTTCTAATTTAGTGGTGGTTAGTGGCGTCGGCGGCAATGTACGATCCTTGCAAGGTGTAAGGAATTTGACCTTACGCCTCATCACTTGTGATTAGTGCAATTGAAGCCGCAACAATGCCCACTTGACGCTTCTTTTTTGCGCACGGCCGTTTTGGCCAGTTAAGTGTGCGCCAAGGGCATCTCGACCGCCCATTGGCACTTAGGCAACCTCTCTCGGAAATCACGTAAGTGATTGAAATAAATCGACGAGGAATTGGCTTACTAGAAAACTAATTCCAACAAAAACTTCCAAAAAACTTCAGGAAATTCCCGATTACGAAACAAGCCAGAACTCACCTGCACATTGATAACCGTCGCCGTGAAATCCTGGGAAACAGGCGCATTCGTAGGAACCGAGGGTGTTCTGGCAATGAGCCAACCAGTGACACGGTTTGTCCAGGCACTCGTTTTTATCTGAACGAGGGCAATTAGGAGGGTGTGACTGCGATTAGTAATGAGGAACAAGCCGAGACAATTATGGACATCAAAGTCTTACCGACGATTTCACACATTGGCCCTGAGAATCCGGAATTGCAGTAGCATTGCGGTTTTTGACCGTCGTAGAGACAAGCACCACGATCGCTGCACGTCGTAATTGCATTTTCGCTCTGGAAACACCAGATTTCGTTTTGGTACTCATTTCATTGCTTTGTTCGGACGGAGCAGATTTTCCCAAGGGGGGGGGGCGTATACCACAACAAGTCACGGTGTATATTGCGCGATGGTTGAAGGGTAGCTTTTCGTTTGCTTTACCGCGGGAACGTTCCCATCCGAACCACACCAAGCGCTCATTTCTGAACAGCATTTATTTTATTTTGAGCATGGACTCAACTCAAGGCTCCAAGTCTAACTCTCGAAATTCTTGTACTTTTTTGAAAACCTTCACAAATTTCTGTTGAAGTACTGTGTGCGGCGTAATCTGGATAAGTAATGATAGAACAACTTCGTTTTTTCCCCTTCAGTTACCCTTTGTGAACGCCTAAGTACTAATCATCAAATTTGCTCGAGTTGTCTTAATCGACACTTGAATCAACTTATCTATATCG